CATCTGCACAGCATGCATCTTGGATATGTATCTGGGTGATTCACTGAGGTCTAAGCGTATGCACAGAAAGTACTTCTCTTGAGTTTATAGGAAATGGTCACTTGAGGTATGTATAGTTTTCTCAAAAAAGGCCCTGGCATTTATCTTTAAAGTTAGGCCAAAAGTCAAAGAAAAAAAAAAAAAGAAATTGTAGCAACTACAGAGGGCTTGGTTGACATTGGTTTATTATTTTTATAGTGCAAAAATAATAGCTCCGAACCTTGACTCAGGTTTATACTTAAGCTATGAAAAAAACCTCATACATCAGAGCCCTGTGTGAGTCGAATAGGAACTGTTCTCGAGCCAGGCTGTCCCTCACGAGGTTAACTCCTGCCCCCGGTGCTGCTTAAAAGCAGCTTTCATCCTGAATAGCCTTCTGCCTTCAAACTTGGCAGTTTTTCCGAGAATCATCAATATCTATGCTGGTGACGCTTATTGGCTGCCTCCTTATCTCAGAGACCAAGACCTTGGTCTGCTTTCTTATTTCAAAGTTCTGAAAAAGTTTCCCAGCAGGTTGGAGGGTTGTTTGAGGGGGGATGTTCTTTTCCTCAGCTGTGGCTCTCATCAGCCTCTGCCTTTCGCTGGCGGTTCGGTGTGGCCGGTGACTCGGGATGCACCAAACCCTCCCACATGCTGCACTCCCTGCGGCCGTGGCATTGGCAGCCGCGTGCTGCAGCCTGCTGCGAAATGCTGGCGTCGGGGTCAGGTTGGACTGGTAACAGAACTGGTCACCGAAAAGCCCTCTGTCTTCACTGAGGTTAGTTGCTCTTTCTCCCCATATGAAGGGAAAAGGGCTTTCCGTGATTTCCTGCTGTTAGCATGCTAGCGGACGTGGGAATTTGTGCAGTCGGAGGCTGGGCTTCCCAGCACGAATGTGCACAAGACTGCTGTCAGGCTGTGTCACACAGCACCCGGGGGAAATCCGTCTTTGTGTTTTCTCAATGACATTTTTCTGTTTTCTTGGAATTTGTCTTGCTCGGTGCTGTTTCTTTTGCTTCACCCAGTTCTGCTTTCTCGTTTGTTCTTTTTCCTGGGGTTCTCAGAGCATGGAGGGATGATCCTGCAGACCCTCCAACTCAGAGGTACCTGTGCTGCTCCACAGCCTCCCCAGGCAGCCTGTTGCAGCCTGAGCCCATTGCCACCCTGCTCCTGCCCTCCCTGCTCACCCACGTGAGGAGCATGACCATGTCCCTGTGCCTGCTCTCCGCTGTGGACGGGATGCAGTGGTCCTGCATGGGCCACCTTCCCAAGGTCTCCGCAGGTTCCCTGCACAGAAGTCGGTGCTGCTCTTGGGTTTCGGTGCCCCAGAAAACGCACAGTGCTGCAGGGGGGGCCGCACCAGTGCAGAGCAGAGAAAGGAGTATTTCCAGTGTCATACAGGATTCTTTTCATTTTCACTTGTTCTACAGCATCCATTTGTTTATTCCGAGGTTTTCAGAGAGAAACTACTCCATCCCTCTCATAATCACAAATGTTGCCTTTTTTTTTTGTGTTTTGTTTTTCTATATTCATGATAGGAACAGTCTTCTCTGTAGGTGACCTATGGCGTATGTTCATTTCCCATCCGATGCCATTTTTCTCCTTAAACTGTTTTATTGGTTTTCATGCACACTGACTTGTGTGGTCTTCAGGCTTACTGAGTGCAAGTGTTTGGGCTGTCTCCTAATGTGTCTGATGAATACTTTGGACAATGAGATCCAATATCTTGCTATCTTGATAGTCCATATAGATTTCAGCTTTTTGAGGACTTGAAGTTGTAATAGTGTCAGTCCTGTGCAGCACGTTTATTACGTGTATGTTGTGTTGTGAATCTTCCTTCATTGATTGAATGAAAAGTGTATTGGTAGGTTTAACGAAAAAGAGCAAGAAATCAAAGCTGCCATCTTAGGAAGGCATTGAGAATAGATTTGATGAAGCAGATCCGTGGTGAATTAGGGTTAAGTCTTTCCTGAATGTCCATAAATGTGTGGATTTACAATTTGAAAATAATATTGCAGTTGTATTGGAGGATCTTGTTAAGTTTTTTGAGCGCAGGTGTGGTGGGGACCTGTGTTAAACCATGCTTGATCCCTAGCACCGGTCAGGGAGAGCTGTTTGTGGAGGTGGGTGTTTCAGCACGTCATATAAATGAAAACAATTATGCTTAGGCAGATTTTACCTGCTTTCTTAGTTTTAGCAGTACAAAGCCCTCTTGCCATTTACAGCAGATGGGATATTGGCTTTCTCTCCCAGCACTCATTAGCAAGATACGGTGGAAGAAGCCTGGGACGTGGAGATAAGGGAGAGCCAGTGAACATGCTGGTCCTGGAGGCTGCGCTGGAGGATGCGATGCTAAACCTGCACAGCTCATTTGGCGGGCCAGGGAGCGGTACAAAATGTCCTGCGGCCGCAGGCACAGATAGCGCTCCTGACGCTCTCTCCGTGGGAGCTGCGCAAGTTGTTGGCGCCGTGCAGCTGCACCACCGAGTCCGTGCGGGGACCGTCCCCTCCCGGTGGCTCTGCTTGGGGTACGTAGCAAACGAAATTGTCCCCACGGGGATTTCAGCTGTGTTTCAGCAGGCTCTGCACCTGTCCTCGACCCTCAAGGCCTTTGCTATATGCAGCCCGGGCTTCATATCTCTGCAAGATGCTTTGAAACCTGGAGCGCTTTCCAGAAGCATCGCCTGCACGCGCTGACAGCCAACGTCTGTCCTGCCTTTCACCTCTCGGTGCTGACAGTCTCTGTCCTTCTGGTGGGAGGCAACAAGGTCAGCCCTGCGGAGGCTGTGCTCTGGTCCCAGCCCGGCCGCTGCTGGCAAGCTGCCCCAGTTGCTTGGAAGGGGCTGTGGCTGCCCCTGGGGGGAGTTGTGTCCACGTAGCCAAGATGGAGATTGCCATGTGCGTGGCAGGTGTGGGTATTTTAAGCCATTGCGGGGAATTTAGCACCCTGGGGTGGGTTATCCTCTGCCTTCCTGCCTGCTCTTAGCTCCAGCTCCTTCTATAGCACAATAGTCAAAACTAAAAATCAAATGTGAAATACAGACTATTCATAGCTCATGCACTTCGATCCAAGGTCGCAGTGGCACAGCCCATCTCCAGATCTGGATCCAGGCTGCTTTTCTAGGATCTCCTGTGTCAGAGTAATAGTAATTGCTGTAATGACAGACGTTTGTTCATGGGTAATTATGATAAAGGCTCTGCTTTTTCCTACACTGACCAGAAGGGCAGACTTGCTGGGGCTGAGCTGCTGGACGTGGCTCCTAGCCTGACATGCGCACGGTGGTGTGGCTGCTGCACATCAGTCTGGTGGCTCGAGGTGCCTCACTGGGGGTTGATATAGCACAGGAATGCTGGGGTCCCCACCGCCTTGCTTAGCCAAACCCACCAAGCCCCATAGCCCGTGCTTCCTCCTTCACCCTCCCGCTGCCCTCGGCCCTGCTGCCTGCAGGGTGACTGTCGCCGCATGGAGCAAACCAGCCTGGTGAAAATCTGGTTTCCACCCTCTCAGCTCCCTCCTGGCTGCAGGAGGGAGGGCTGTTCTTCCCATCAAGGAGGCACTGTCTTCTAGTGCTCCACCTCCTAAGTGTTGAGTGGCAGGGA